TGGCTTTGAGTGTGGCTGGCACTTTGGGGCTTGCCATGTGTATCCCAACGTAAGTAAGTGATACAGCAAGATTAAGCAGAGTCTCCATAATACGCCGAGATTAGTTGTTGTTTTTTTTTAAGATTTTATTTATCCATTTGACAGAGATCACAAGCAGGCAGAGAGGCAGGCAGGGGGGGGTGAAGCAGGCTCCCCGCTGAGCAGAGACCCCCCCCCACCCTGAAGTGGAGCTCAATCCCAGGACCCTGGGATCATGACCTGAGCCAAAGGCAGAGGCTTTAACTCACTGAGCCACCCAGGCTCACCCAAGATTAGTTTTTATAGACTTCTGTCTTCAAATGGGTGTATGCATACTGCTTGAGATACAGCTCTTCCTGATGGTTATGCGAGGACAGTTTTAGGAGAATCAACTTCTAAATTCTCAGCTTGTATTCTCTCCCAGAAACCAGCTCCCTGGATCCAAACCTTCCCTTTCTCCATCACCTGTCCCTTACTGCTCACAGAAAGATACACTCCTCACCCATCCCAAATCCCAAATCCATGGAAGTCACCAGGGAGGGCTGGGAGGAGGTTCCAGGATGGCAAACAAACGGGTAAGTTGAAACACTGACGAGGAGCCCGGGGAAGTGGATGACCACTTTGGTGGTTTCCAGGTATTTGCCTTTAACGAAGGTGAGTTGTTAGTTGGTGGATGAGTAAATACAATTTTTCATAATAACCATTCTGAAATTTTTGGCATGTAAATTCAGGAGAGCTCAAATCACTGACTATAAAAGGAATGTTCTTATAATCAATACAAACTGAATATAACAAAATTCCGTCCATTGCATCTGGATACATGTGTGATCAAGAAATCTTTAACTTTATAAGCAAGAAAAACAGGAAGAGAATTTATCCTTAATTGTTCTAGCCTTGGTAATAGTAACTGTGGATAGGGTATAATCTCTGTGGTGAGGGAAAGCTATACTGATCACCTTAAGAGGTGTATTTCTAATTAAGTTTTTTATTTTTAATATTTAACAAAATATTTTGATCAATTGCATACAAATAAAAACAGATAACTTAATATGTAAGATAATTTTTTAAACATTTAGACACTTGCTACCCAAGAAATTTAAAAATTTCAATTTCTAAATACATTTTGGTTGAAGACAATAATAAGGTAATAATTCAAAATCTTTCAGCCATACCAATATATTCCAGTAGAATAAAATTTTTAGGGGAAAAGTGGGATGGAAATGTAAGTTTAAATGATTGTTCATTGCGGTGTGCGCACACAATGAAATGAAAATTTTCAATTTTGGAGTGTGCTGTTGCATAGTCAACATACCATATGATTTTGCTTCATCCTACCTGCCCTTGAATGTTGCGTAGAGTTGGTCTTGGGTCTATAGGAATGTACAGTATTGTAGTCTCTTCAAAAGTAGGCCCCACACGTCTCTGGTTTCTCCTAGAAGACCCTACTGGGCTCAGGGAGACACACTTAGTACATGTGTAGTCAGTGTACAGCTTTGCAGGGACAGCAGAGACATCATGCTACCCCCAGGAGAGCCTGGGGGAACAGGTGGATAAAGGCAAAATTATGGGTTGTGGACTCAGCCATTCCTGGGTTCTCAAAACTCTCTCTACCTCCTACTGGTTCCTTAACCCTCAGAGCCACAGAACTCCCTCTCCACAAAGAGGGTTACTGTAAGCAAGCTTGATTATTTGGGGCCTCACATATGATGGGCACGCCTTTGGGGGCAGTCGCCGTCCCTTTCCCTGTCCATGGTGTTCAGGGATTAGAGAATCAGGCTCTACCTCCGTTGCAGGTTATGTATGAAGTAGCTGTAACACGGTCTGATCATTCTCTTTCCCCAGAATACAGCACTCAGGCAGGACCAAAAGTCATGAGTAAGTAAGTGTTGTTTAGAGAAAAAAAAGGGGGGGGGATGTAAGGAAAGGATGTAGTTTAGGTCTGTTCCAGTGGGTCACCCTAGAAGCTTAAGTCGGTCTGACTAATAAGCCCAAGCAGTCAGGGAAGGCCTGGCAATTCTGGAGCTGTGCCAACTGCTTATAGTACTGATGTCAGCAGCTGAGTCAGGCCCTGGACACTCACGGTGCTTGCCAGGATACGGACACGGTCCAAAACTAGATCACACTGAACAAACCTCTTCCCTCTTTGACCTAAGTAATAGGAGGGAAAACTCACCTCACTCCTGCACCGTGACTGATCCCTGAGCTGGGGTTTTTCATACTTGAGCCCTGAGCACAGCGAGGCTTCTCCTGACACCTAGATAACCCTACCACAGTCCTACCACCAATCCTCTAGGCCCGCAGCCTCCTCCCTCACGTCTTCTCCACCGGCTCTCTCCTTGATAGCAGGCCACTGATTTACTTGTTGGACGTGATTGTATTATCACTCTTCACCCAATGGACTGTCCGTTCTAGGAGGGGGCTGCGTCAATCTCTTCTTTGTATCTATTTGCTGGCACAGTGCTGGACATGTAGATAGGCAGTAAATAGTGAATGAATGAATGAATGAATGAATGACAGCTAAAATTATCCCAGCTTATTGCTTTAATAGTAAGGACTCATTTATTCATCTATAGGGCATACTGAGATTTGCTAATCTACAACATATTTGCAGCGAGTTTTCTTGCCTGAGAAGAAATAAATCGTGTTTAAGATAATTTAACTAGGCAAATTAATTAAAATTAACTAAAAGTTGAAAGCCCAAAACTATGTTTTAACATTACAGGCCACTATATAATCAAAGGCATTATATTTGATAAGCAATTTTGTAAACTAAATAAAGCCAACAGGATCTAGTCTCATTAGAGTCTTACTATGTAACTACCTTTAGGTTTTCGGTTTCCTTCTGGGAATGTACTCAGTTAAAGAAAAGACAGTAACGCCTTTCAGGTAAAAACTTAATGAGGTGAAAGTTGATTTTTAGTTCTGAAGGCAGAATATCCAACTCGATATTTTCCTTGTCTCCACAATTACTTAATATAATCTGAACGTAAGTCCATTATTTGTCAGTAGAGCACTACTTCCTAAAGTATTTCCCTCTATCATATTCCAAAACCCTGTCTTCTTCCAGTCCCTTATGTAGTGATTAAACATTCACGTGTTCAATGAACACTTATCAAATACCACAGGCATCAGACACGGGGAGTCATGCTGCCCTCCCTCCCTCCCAAATAACAAACCTATCCTGGTATAAATCGGTATGAACTGTGTTCTGGGAGTGGCTTTCTGAGTGCAGGACCTCTTCATTTCACACTCCTACAGTGAAAATTTTATAATACAAAGGGATTTTTCAATTTTGTAAAAACAAAAACAAACCTCAAGTCTACGGAGATTTTATGAATTGCGGAAATCACAGAGCTATTGAGTGGGAGCTGGGATCCCTCCAGGCTCCCTGAAGCCCCGCCCCCACTCTCCCACCCGCTTACCTGACACAGGTCTTATTTTCAGTCTCTGTTAGGACCACTTTTTCTACAGCCTCCCTTGAACTGCTCATTCTATAAATACGGCAGTGTGTAGTAGGGAGATCACAATTTCATTTTCTCCCCCATATCTGCTTGTAACACCTGGTAGTTTCAATCTCTCTTAATGTAACCACTCTGAACTCACCACACAGGTTAGAAATCTCCAAGTGATTCTCGACTCCTCTCTCTCTCTTCCTCTTCACATTCAATAAGCTGGTGGGTTCTGTCGGTAATAATCACCACATGTCCTTGGAATCCAGACTTTGCTCTTCATACCTTTAAAGGTACTCCAATTCAGGCCCCGTCATACCTGCTTGGACCATTGCAGTAGCCTTCAAGCTGGTCTCCATACCATGGCCTGGGACGGGAGTTCCGTACCACTGCAGGAATGAGGGTCCTTTCAGAAGAAAAAGGAGGAGGAAGAGGAAGAGAACTTAACTGTTGTCCTTCACGCTTAAAAAACACGACAGAGTAACAGGTTTATAATTCACTATTTTATAGAGGAAAAGTGGTTTGTTTGTTTGTTTGTTTGTTTGTTTTAAAGAACGAGAAAGAAACAAAAACCCTTAGCAAGAAATCAAAAGCCTTTTTCCAATAGACTCATCTGCTCCTTTTTAACCTCCTCTCTGCTTTATATCCTCGGAGTCCTGACACCGCTGAATCCTGCCATCATTTTTAGACCCTTAAATCGTCTCCCTGCTCTGGTACATAAGTCTTAGTTTCTCCTAGAATAGGCTTCTCCTTCCTGGTTCACAAAAGCCCCCTGTTCCGTGACACCCACGATACATTTACACCTCCCGCAGTCTTACTGTTGTTTCCTCGGGGGTTCCTCCGAGCACCTAGATTTCTGCATTTCTGTCATCCTGAAACCTCCAGAGTTGGAAAAGGGACTGGCACACAGCAGGTGCCCAATAGAAGCTTGTTGATGGAATGAACCACTCTCTGGGAAGAGGCAGGAAATAAATGAGAATGTTGTTGACGTGTATTTGCTGCCAGTGGAGGCGTGCGGACCCGGGGGCACAGGAGGCTGCACTCCCTCGTCAGCCGTCCTGGATGAGAACAGCTCGTAGGCTCATGGCCGCCAGCAGGAAGGTTAACCCAGCCCCCTGCGTACTGTTACCGGAACTTTGTCCGTTCACCCTTGTGAAACCCACTTCAATTTCATCCTCAGTCCTGGGTCAGACGCAACTGAGAAAAGGTCAAATCAAATGAGACTCACTGAGTGACCCTCTCTTCAGAGTCTCTCTTGCGCAGGAAGTTTAACGCAGGAGCTGTATGGCTGGGGCAGAGCTTTGATTCTTGTCCTGCGCAGCCCACCTGCCATTGGTTTTCTTTCCTGGGTGAATGCGTTTCCAGTCAAATGTCCTGGGGTCTGTGAGGCATTAGTCCTCTCAGATGTGGCTTTCAGAGCACCTTGTTTGTTCCAGACACTCTGGGAGGTGCCTCCAGCGGACAGCGGACCCTCGGCTTCGTCCGGCCGCCGCCGCGCCATGTCACAGTGTCCCCCTTTCTCTTCTTCTGCAGGCATCGTTTCCATCACCACCCTGACTGTGCTGGCCTATGAACGTTACATTCGCGTGGTCCATGCCAGAGTGATCAATTTTTCCTGGGCCTGGAGGGCCATTACCTACATCTGGCTGTACTCACTGGCGTGGTCGGGGGCGCCTCTGCTGGGCTGGAACAGGTACATCCTGGACGTGCATGGACTGGGCTGCTCTGTGGACTGGAAATCCAAGGACGCCAACGACTCCTCCTTTGTGCTTTTCTTATTTCTTGGCTGTCTGGTGGTGCCCCTGGGAGTCACAACCCATTGCTATGGCCATATTCTGTATTCCGTTCGAATGGTAAGTTGAAAACAGCAGGTGCCCCTCCCCTAATCTAGTTCCAGGGTGGGCAGTTCTGGGCAGAAGAGACTCAAACTCTCCCTACGTGATCAGTGGTTGTCCGCAGCTGGCGCCGTTCTAGGGGACTTCCTGGGAGAGTATAGAATTCTACTCTGTTCAATAGAACTGGGCACTGAGTCACTCTCTAAAAGGCAAATGAGGAATAACATCTACTTTCTCTACGCCACTCTCTAAACCACAAGGAGGAAGGAAAGGGGTTCTGGACGGATAAAATCAGTAACCACCAAGAACACCTGCATTCTCCGACGCTGTTAGAATTAAAGAACTCTAACCAAGGAAATTCCACACTTCCCATGATTTTATTCATTCAAAGATCATGTAAATCTACTAGACCATAGTATAGATATTTTGTCCAGAAATCACTTCTGAATCATAAAGCACAAGACTGGCCACAAATGGGTTTCCTGTTGAGTGCTAGCAAGACGTCTGAAGTGACAGTGGGAGGCGGTCTCCTACTTTAGCCCCATACATTTTCCTTGCTCAATCACTGTGTCTTCCTGTCTGCGTCTTCCTTCTTCAGAACTCCTGCTCAGTGGTCTCCTATGCACCCTGCTAAACCCCTCTAACTTTCACCTTTAAAAAAAAAAAAAACTTGGCTACATGCATCACTTTAAATCATAACCCACTGCCGACTTCCACATTTGAACTTTTCTCATACACATCTATCTTGTATAAAAAGAGAAAAAAATCCCCATATCAATCCAAAGATAGGTTTTCCCCATGGCTGTAGTCAAACTACAAAGAGTGGCTGGAGGAAAATATGCGCCCAGATTCCCAATGCCCATACCCAGATGTCCTCTCAGCAGTGTCTGGCAATGTCTGGGTCCCTGGAGGGTCCGCTCTCTCACACGGTCACTTCTATAAATCCTCAGTTCTCCTTTTAATTCAGCTCTTGCCCTACCCCCCAGTCATTCTTATCAAATAATCATGCTTATTTATTGGGCAAAAGAAAGCCATTATCAAGAAATGTCTCAACTCCTTGTCCGCCTTTATACAAATCTCCCTGTTCAGCCTCATTCTTAGGTCCCCCTCTTCAGTTCTGGGGTCATGGCATAGATCTCTGGGGACCAAGCTGACCTTAGCTTCTGGTTTTCCCCCAACCCCATTTTCTGCCCCAGGGACCTCTTGCAAGTAATAGTTTTCTCTACCACTTAACATCTCCAATCTCTTCCTTACTTCTGGCTCCTTCTCCTTAGCAATAACTATGCTACTATTATACAAAAGCAAAGTCTGCTCTCAACTCCCTCTGGCTCTCACTTCATCGCCTTCCGCACCAGTCTCTACTCAAAGAAGCGTTAGTGGCTTTTGGTGTTCTGTCACCACTCAGTAAGCATGCATTTGGCCAATATTGGTCGAACATCTAGAGTGCACCAATTACTATTATGGGCTGAATGTTTTTTTTTTTCTCTCCAAAATTTATATATGGAAGCTTGACCCTTAATCAACGGTATTGGGGATGGGGTCTTTAGGAGGTAATTAGGGTCATATGATGTCATGAGAGTGGGGCCCTCATGATGGGATTAGTGCTCTAGTAAGAAGAGGGAAGACCAGTGGCTCTCTCTTTCTCTCTCTGTGTCTTTTCCTCCTTCCTTTCCTCCCTCCATCCATCTCTTCATCCCTCCCTTCATCCCTCCTTCCATCTCTCCACCATATAAGTACACAGAGAGAAGGCAGCCATCTCCAAGCCAAGAAAAGAGGTCTCATACTGAAACCTACTTGTGGGCATCTTGACCTCAGACTTCCCAGCCTTCAGATTTGTGAGAAATACATTTCTGTTGTCTAAGCCACTCAGTCTATGTTATATTGTTATGGAGGCCCAAGCTGACTAAGCCGTTGCCTAAGCTCTGAGGATATAACATGTATAAGATATCACCCCTGCCTCAAAGAGTTTATAGTTTAATAAACTTACCTAGCGCTTAATTCTCCAACCCATAGCAAATTGGCGCTTCCTTCCTTGAGCACACTGTCAGAGAAACAGTCCACATTAAGGTAACTGATGATCTCCCAAATGTTAGATCCAGGGAACACATTCCTATCTCTTTTTTCTTTTCTGACATCCGTGGTATTTGACACTTGTGGCATTATTGACAACTTCCACTCACTGGTGGTTTTCTCCTCCACTGTTTCTAGCCATTCTCTCCTGTCTTTGCTGCTGATTCTCTGGCCCATTTTCTTAGGTCTCTGCCAAGGGCTGCTTCCCATGGGATTCCCAGCCTTGTGCGTGTAGTTCTTTTCTCTTACTACACACTGGCCTTGGGCACCTCATATGCTCTTAGGATTTCCCCTTCTAACAATAGCTTGGTGACTTTGGAATCTCTATTTCTGACCCAGCGTGTTCTTCTGACTTCTGTCAGGTCCCAGTCAGCTGCCTATTGCAGACCTCCACTAGGATGGTCCCCAGACTTACCAGATTCTTTTTTTTTTTAATTTTAAGATTTTATTTATTTATTTGAGAGTGAGAGAAAACATGAGAGATCAGGGTGAGGGTGGGGTGAGGCCCAGAGGGAGAAACAGACTCCCCACTAAGCAGGGACCCTGATTCAAGGCTCGATCCCAGGACCCTGGGATCATGACCTGAGCCAGAGGCAGACCCTTAACTGACTTGGCCTTCCAGGTGCCCCTTCAGAACATTCAGACTTAACAGATTCCATGTGCGTGAAGACAAATGGGCCATCTTTCCCCCAGATCGGCTGCTCTTTCATTCCCTTTCTCAGTGAATGGTCATTATTCCTCAGCCAGAAATGAGAGCATAATATTTGACTATTCCTCATCCAAATCTCCCCAATTATCCTACAATCCCACAATCAATTATCAGTTTTCATGTATTCAACCTCCTATTTTTCCTTATATCCTTTTCCCCCTTCTCCTGTGGTCACAGACTCAGTTCAAAGGGGGCTTAGTTTTTTCTTCCTTTATTCTTGCTTTCTTCTCATCTATTTTCTCCATACTTCCACCAGAGTAATTATTCTTAAATGCAAGTTTTCTCATATCACTGGCCAGCTTAAAATCCTTCAGAGATTCCTCTGCCTTCATGATGAAAAATAAAGCCTCTGAGTGTGACTACCAGGGTCCTGCATTACCATCTCTTGTCTGTGTGTCCAGCTTTAATTCTTGACATGCCGACCCTCTAGCCAACTCGGGTTCCAGTCAAGTGCAGTATTTCTTGTTCCCAGAACTTGACATGTGTTCTATTACTACTTTACATTAGCATTCATCCTGTTCCTGGAACACTCTGTCCTTCCTCCTTACTTGGCTGAACCACAGGCGGCTTAGCTCAGTATCTTCCTGCCCTTACCTATGTCTGAATCCATTACCCATCCTGTGTGCTCTCATAGCCCTCTCTGGTCGCCTCTCTCACGACATGCATCATCTATGGAAGCAGTCTGTGTGCCTGTCACCCTCAGAATACAGTGAATTCCTTAAAAGCAGAGACCCAGTCTTATTCATTTTTTCACCTATAGCTGGAACAGGACTTTCATAAAATAGTTGATCAGAGCCCATTTTTGGAATGAGTGACAAACAATGCATTGGAAGGGGAAGTGGTGCAAGTGTGAAGAGACTTGACTCCAGACCACAGTATTCTCCGCTCAGAACCTGGTGGTTTATCCAGAGGGGTGACTCAGAGCATTGATGGAGACAGAGTTTCTTATGTGAGAAAAGGACTCACGGTGAAGTGTTTGGAAATCCACAGGTGTCTGCATCAATAAGCCCAATTTAATGTAGACAGAGGACTCTTTTATTGGGAAATCTGGGGAATGTGTCTTAAGTGGTTCAACCTTCAGGACAAGTTCAGCTGTGCATATGCTTTTGCTCCATCTGTAGCCGTTTTAGAAAATATCCTCAAATGATTGAATATTGGGGTAGGACATTTTGGGGGCTCTTTATTTGGAAAATTTTGAAAGGACAGAGTGAAGGAATGGAGAATGATAAAACAGAGAGGCCAAAAGAGATAAATGAAAAATAATCATGGAAACTGCAGATAAACAAACACAAATAATCCAGAATAATCAGAACTATATCCTTGTACCAAAGAGAAACTGGGCTTTCCCAGCCCAGTATTTCCTTAAGTTAACTTCTCCAGCATGCATGTAATTTCAAGATGATAAATGAGTGCTCTGCTTTGATACATGTTGAAAGGATGGGAATTGAGTTGCCCAGAAAGGGTAGAGATGAGTCTGTGGGGACTCTGGATGGTGGGGAATTGGAGACAGATGATTGAGCGGTGGTTATATTGAGTATATTGAGTATATTGTACATTATCAATATAATGCAATATATCGTATATTAAATATACTATATATTGAGTATATCGAATATATATATACTCATTAATTGCAACTGAGGAGCCAAAAATCATGATTCCAAATATTCCATAGTATCATAAAAGTACAAATGCATATAAATGTGTTAGTTTCAAATATAATTCCAGTGTAAATAAATATTTAATCTTGGACATAATCCCACAAAGTCATGTGTGTGGAACTGGGACCCAACTTCTGTTGTCCAACAGGTTATTCATTTGAATCTCCTTTAATCTTGACTCTTAGAGGAAGTAATTGATTGCCAGGAGCAAAAGTGGTGAATCTGGGATATGGATCCAGACCTAATTCCAAATCGAGACCTTTTATTAGAACTCTACAACCTTCTTAAGAAACTCTGGGGAGGGGCACCTGGGTGGCTCAGTGGGTTAAAAGCCTCTGTCTTCAGCTCAGGTCGTGATCCCAGGGTCCTGGGATCGAGCCCCGCTTCGGGCTCTCTGCTCAGCAGGGAGCCTGCTTCCTCCTCTCTCTCTGCCTGCCTCTCTGCCTACTTGTGATCTCTGTCAAATAAATAAAATCTTTTAAAAAAGAAAAAAAAAACCTCTAGGGAAAATTTCCCACCCACTCAAAAAATGTTGTTCTGAAAATAGAGTAATATCCTATCATATTAAATAAAATAGTTTCTTTTAAAATAGAATAGATAGATAGATAGAATAGATAATAGTATCCAACTTTACAACCATGCCCACTCCTACACCTTCCTCTACTCTATAAAAACACAATCATTTTAATTATCCATATTTTCTTCCTACTCTCTGTCAGTGTGAATAGGTGATTTTACTAAGAACATAGTTTCTTCAATATAATTTTAGATTATATCAATAATTTAGCTCTATCAATTCAAATATACTTTTAAACACTATAAGCACATGTTCTGATTTATTTGGAAATTTTTTTCCTTAATTTTTATGATAATGCTGGAAATAAAAAGGAATGCTTAGATTTTGTTGAAATGCAATAAATTTCCCAGTTTAAAATTGTGCACTAAGTATAAACAGTATGCAAGATACCTTATTTTAAATACATAAGGCACTTGTATTTTTGTAGCAAACTTAACTTTTTAGGATAGTCAGAAAAACCATTTTATTTAAGAACATACTTTTGGTGTAGAGGGATATTATCTCCCTCCCCTTACTAACAAATCTGTAATAACAATAGAGGAACCTCGAAAGAACTTTTATCTGAGAAACCCAAACAACTTTCAGACTCTAGACCATTATTCTTCAGTGCTTTAATAGGGATGAATTAAAAACAGATATGCAGAGTTTACAGGAATGTGGCTACAAGTGTTCTCTGTACCTGAGCCCGGATGAAACCAACCACAAGCGAGGTCCCCATCCAATCCCACTTTGCAGTAGTTAGCTGGGAGTGGAAGCCACCATAGTTTGCAGCAACAATTCATTTGGGAATTTAGCTTTAACCAAGACCAGCTTAACCATGCAGAACCAAAGTCACATGTTTGCTGCCTGGTTTGAGAAGTTGAGGGTTATGGTCTGGATTAGAGTTTCCAGGATCATGGAGAGTTTCCAATTTGTCAGGACTCTGTCAGGCTGTCTTTCAGTGACTGGAGGATCTAAGCAAAATTATTCATTTTCTTTTTTTTTTTTTTAAGATTTTATTTATTTATTTTAGAGAGAAAACATGCGTGGTTGTCGTGGGGGGAGGGGAGGGGCAGAGGGAGAGCGAGAATCCCAAGCAGACTACACACTGGGCATGGAGCACAGCAGGCCAGATTGTGAAATCATGACCTGAGCCAAAACTAAGAGTCCCACACTCAACGTCTGAGCCACCCAGGCGCCCCCGCTTTTTTCTTCTTTAAATAAATTGGAAAACATTAAAAACCATTAAAGGATCAAAGAGGCTATGTGGCTCAAAGTACTGTATTAAAGATGCATGGACTGAGACATGGAGAGATTAAGGGCTGGACCCAGCTGGAGGCTCTTGGATCAGAAGTTGACCCCAAAAGTCCTGTTGAGTTGTCTTTCCACGAGGGTGGGCCCTGGAATTTTGTCAGTATATCTATTATCAAAGCAACATGAGAAAAGGATTCTTTGACTTCCACCTCTTTCTTTCTCCTTTCTGCAGCTTCGTTGTGTTGAAGATCTTCAGACAATTCAAGTGATTAAGATTTTAAGATATGAAAAGAAAGTGGCCAAAATGTGCTTTTTAATGATATTTATCTTCCTTATCTTTTGGATGCCTTATATGGTGATCTGTTTCATGGTGGTGAATGGTTATGGACACCTGGTCACTCCAACAGTATCTCTTGTCTCCTATCTCTTTGCTAAGTCAAGCACTGTATATAATCCAATTATTTATATCATCATGATCAGAAAGGTAAGTGTGGTAATAGACGCGTTGTTTTCACCATGTAGATGTGGTTGTTGGAAAATGTAATACTTTTAGAGAGATTATTCAGACACCTTCAGTGATAAAAACCTAAGTCAAGAATTTTATAGGAAAAAGTGTTCAGGAATAAATGCAAGATATTCCCCAAAGAAAATAGTAACAATTCTAAGATCTACCAAAAATCTTGTTAAGTAAAATTCCATTAAAATTAGTATTTAATTCATCAGGAATCATTTTATGTCTCATAATAATAATGGTCACAAAGTTAATAATTTACTTAAAATTCTTACTCTACTATGGAGATTATACCCATTATCTTTCAAAACACCATGAGACAGGCACTAGTATTATTTTTTACTTTATTTATGAATTATAACACAAGTTCAAAAAAGTTAAATGACCGACCTGCTCCAGGAATTGTTGGTGCCTGGATTCCAGTCTGGTTTGCTAGAATATCAAAGTCCATGCTCATAGCTCACCACTCAGGGTTTCAGGTATCATTATGCACATGCCACGACCAGTGGGTAGCTCAAACTAATTTGTTTCCAGAAACTCCTCTAGATCGAACGGGAAGCTTATTGTTTTTTAAAGATTTTATTTATTTATTTGACAGAGAGAGATCACAAGTAGGCAGAGAGGCAGGCAGAGAGAGAGGAAGAAGCCGGCTCCCCGCTGAGCAGAGAGCCCGATGCGGGGCTCCATCCCAGGACCCCGAGATCAAGACCTGAGCCGAAGGCAGAGGCTTTAACCCACTGATCCACCCAGTCGCCCCAAACAGGAAGCTTATTATCTGTGTGTGTGGTAGACAGGTTTTGACTTGACGACTGTCAGCCAGGACTATGAGGGCCCCACTATGATTGTGACAAAGCATGAGGCTAAGCCTCTAAGTCACAAAGCTTAAAGACCAGAGCATTGCCACGTTATAAATAATGGCCAATTCCTGCATTGACATTTTTTATTTTTATTTTTTAAATATTTATTTATTTTAGAGAGAGAACACGAGGGGGAGGACCTGAGGGAAAGGGAGAGACAGAGAGGCAGAGGCAGAGGCAGAGGGAGGGGGCATCTCAAGCTGACTCTGCCCAACTCAAGGCTCAACCTCACAACCCTGAGATCCTGACCTGAGCCAAAACCAAGAGTCAGATGCTCCATAGACTGCGTCACCCAGGAACCTCTCCACTGGAACTTAAAGTAGCAGATCACACTAATAACAGGCAATAATAGCTACTCTGGCTGCTAACACTCAAAAGTTTGGAATGAGAGGACATTTTTTCTATTAACCTTATAATGTTCACTGCTAAATCTCCCTATTCGTACTTTCATATGGTTTCAGTCTCTACTCATTGATGGTCCTTCTTTCTCTTTCATGATGCCTTCGTTTATCTATTTACTTGAATCCAGAGAATTTTAACTCAGAGTCCCTAAAATCTGAGAATTATTTGAATTGGCTTCCGGAGAGCCATGAGAACCCCTGAAATTAGTCATAAAACTTTTTAAGAATATGCACATGTACATTTTTCTAACAAGATAGTTTATAAGCTTAATTTTCTGAAGAAGTGTAAGGGCTTCATATTTTAAGAACTACCACTTCAACAGGCAAATAATTACATTTAAAATACATTACCCGATATTATTTTTTGTGTTCTTTCTCTGGGCCAGTGGCCCCTATGTCAGTTCTTTTAACATTTTAGTGTACATACACCACACCAGGAGAGACCATTAAAAAAAAAAAAGTACATACTCAGATTTGGTAAGCCTGGGTGGCCAAGATTCTGCTTTGTAACGTTGCATGTGGTCCCCGTGTTTCTGGTTCTCAGGAGCACACTTAAAATGGAAAGTCTGAAAGACACAGAAAACTAACAATAAAACAATGGTCCTTATCCTCAAGGAGCTTACCATTTATGTAGGAAAACACATTTTGACATACTTTAACACTGATAATAATGTATCTTTAGCACTTAACCTGGTAGAGCAAACACTAGTTTGATGAATAGATAGTCTCAAGCAAATATTTTTAAAGGTGAGTATAGACTAAATACTAACTTGTATACACATGAGGTTTAAAGAATACAGAAATCAATGTAGCTAGCTCTTCTATTTTCCACTGATATTTTCTGATCTGGGAAAGCTCATGTATTAAACTTTAATTTTGCTCTGAACAAAGGGGATAAAAGTTAAATTAAGTAACTTTTTATTCATATGTTTTATTGGTCATGATAGACTATTGCAACAAATAACTCTACCATTTCAGTGAATTAATAAGAAAACTATTTTTCATTTTTTTAAAAACTTTATTTCTTTATTTTAGAGCGAGAAAGAGAACACATGTGGGAGCACAAGTGGGGAGAGGGGCAGAGGGAGAGAATCTCAAGCAGACTCCCTGCTGAGTGCAGAGCCCCCTACGGGGCTTGATCTTAAGACCCTGAAATCATAGCCTGAGCCAAAACTAAGAGTCAGGAGCTCAACTGACTGAGTCACTCAGGGGCCCTAAGGTTTTGCTCATTAAATCCTGATCCAGAGTCCACTCTGTTTGCTGGAGGGCAGGGGATCTGTCCCATACAGTTCTGTAGGAATCAAAGTTCCTCCATGTTGTGATGTTATAATCTGCAGGCTCGACCTCTAAGGTCTTGTAGGAGGGGAAGAGCAGGGAGGAGCCCCTGAAAGGGAGTTGAGAAATGGGGTTCAGTGTTGTACCCAGGACAAGGGGAGGATCATGGTTATTGGTGAGCACTAGCACTCTCTGCTGTAGTATTTTTTTCTCCAGATAGTTTGTAATCTTGATAGAAAAAAATTCCTTACCTGATCAAAGGAAATTAGTGAGGACAGCTGACTGTAAACTCTGTGGGAAGGGCCTTGTCAGCCTTTGCTGCCCGCAGTATTCTCAAATTGTAGCCCAGTGGCTCTTACCTTGTAGTTGCTCACTGAATATTTGTGGAATGAATTAATTTGAAATTTCTTTTTTTATATATTTTTTTAAGTTTTTATTTATTTTTAAAATTTCTTTTCAGTGTTCCAGAATTCATTGTTTATGCACCACACCCAGTGCTCCATGCAATACATGCCCTCCTTAATCCCCACCACCAGGCTCACCCAACCTCCCACCCCCTGCCCCTCCAAGACCCTCAGATTGTTTTTCAGAGTCCACAGTCTCTCATGGTTCGTCTTCCCCTCCAATTTCAAATTTCTTAAACAGATTTAGTTGTCCTCAAAGATGGTGCATGCAATTTGAATCCATGGAGATTATAAGGTATTGTAATAGTCCTTTATGATTTTGTTGATGAGAATTACATAATAATAAAAAACCCTAAAACTCCAGGGTTATTTAGGTACATATGAGCATTGCCACCTAACCCACACCCACCCAGCTAACAAATAAAAAAGAACAACCGAAATTAAATTCAACTAATTTGAATTTAGGGTTAGGGTTAGGGGTAACCCAGATTAAAGGCCAAATTTTTACTTTATATTCAACTTTATTTTCTCTCTGCCCAGTTCCGAAGATCCCTTTTGCAACTGCTCTGTTTCCGACTTCTGAGATGCCAGAGGCCTGCTAAGGACCTACCAGCCAATGGGAGTGAAATGCAGATCAGACCCATTGTGATGTCACAAAAAGATGGGGACAGGCCAAAGAAAAAAGTGACTTTTAATTCTTCTTCCATCATTTTTATCATCACCAGTGATGAATCACTGGCAGTTGATGACAGTGACAAGACCAGTGTGTCAAAGGTTGATGTAATCCAAGTTCGTCCTTTATAGGAAGGAATAATGGTAATGAAAGATGAGGCCTTATACTGGAAACCACTTCTGGACTTCCATTATGAGGACTATTTCGGAATCCCCACCCTATGTAATATTTTGGGGGAGGAAAAAACTTTCCTCTGCCCTAAAATTTTCTTCTACCTGGTGTAGGAAATAAATTGACATGAAACAGATGAACAGGAGAAAAACCCAAAAATTTAATTCTGTGTGCATGGAGGCCCAATAATAAAATTGAGACCCAAAGAAATGAGCAGGGCATGTAGCTTTTTCACATTTTAGACAAAGAGACATAAATCTGTAAGGAATTGACAGGACAGGAAGACTCATGTTTGGGAGCTTCAGTCAGTAAAGAATTCTAAGCAGGATCTGTGCTTGGTAGTAATTTAGTAAAAGTAACAGGGTTTGTTCATACAGATTTTTTCAGCCCTCAGTTCTCTGTCTCTGATGATACAGATGTCTCTCTACCCCCTGGTTTAGGGAGGTTCCTTTCACACGAGAGATTTCCTGCTTTCAGGAGGACAAAGGAAGATCAGACTGTCCTTTTTGCATCTGCTGTTTATTAAGTAAGTTAAATTCAAAATTGTGGCATATTTTGGGGCATCCTGCCTTGGACTCCCACAACATCAACAGAACCTCTGTGAGTCAGCAGGAAATCTGAATTGCCCGTATGCTTTCTAGCCTCTGGAAGCAACTGAGCAAAACAGTTGCTTTACTTCAATGGGTGCTTTCCGTAACGAGAAACCATTCATGGCACAAGATGGGCATCTGGCACCATTAACTTCTAACATGTTGGAAATTTTAATTTCAAATATATTTTTTTAAATGACACTATTTTCCAAAGCACACAATACATTTTTCTCAAAAATACTTAGCTGTATTCACAGCTTGGAAATAACTGTAAAAATAACTTTGTATCATACATGTTGGAAATTGCAACTTTTCTGTGGTATTGGATCCTCGTCACTGTCTTATCTTTGAACGATCAGATTTATCAGAGAGCCTATTCCAGGGAAATCAAAAGAAAATCAGCACCCTGGCTTCCTCTGAAACGAAAGACTTACTGTATGTGCCGTATGATAAAGACGAGCTTTAAGATGACTGTCCTGCGAAGCGCACTCCAGAAGGAATATTGAAAAGCAACCCAGCAAAGGAAAGGTCGTGAATTTCAAAATAACCATGGAGGCTGAGGACTCATACATTAGCAGAGGATGTCCACGGGAAGGATGTGTCGGTGCCAGATCTGTTTCATTTCAAACATGACTTGGCAACATTATCCCCTCGACAATTTGCCACAATTTTGCCGAGTGTTTTGGGTTTGGAAAAGGAGTTCCAAGCAAAAAAAAAAAAAAAAAAAAGGAAAGAAAGAAACAAATCTACATTTGAAGGGGATGAAAGTAAGTGTAAAACTGTATTCATAAAATGTATTAGTCTTTTTTGCTCTTTAACCAGTCTCCTGGGTAATCAATCAATGGTGAGTGTTCGTGAAGTTGCCATTTTCCCATGAGTCCTTGTTTGGAATAAACACAGCTCATTAGAACTCAAGGATTTCTTCGACTATATAAAAAAGAAACTGAACCATTTTATTTTGTTGCCTAATTTTTATTTCTTAGTTGACTGTCCTGCTGATGTGGCATCTTCACAATCATGTCTGAAAGACTTCTGAGTGTTTCAGCCGGTCTACTGAAGAAGGAAGAACCAAAGAGAATATTTTCCCTAAAAGAACTTTTCAAAATCAAGTTTATCACTGGTTAGTGAACTGCTTCTTGAGAATCTCAAGTGGAATAATTTCTATGAAAACTGTCTCCCTTGTTTCCTTTCACTCTGTCGTCTATATATCTGTTTAATTTATAAATAAAACTTCTTGTTCTTCACTTAGTATGGCATCAATAACCCCCTCTTTGTTTTAATCTTCAAAAGGTAATGATGGCCTTCGAAGACGGTGAAGTAAAATCAGTTCATTTTGTAACGTTCTAGAGTGCCCCAAATTCCTCATTTTTACTTCCAGTTTTGGTAAGTGAAGCTGAGCTCTACGTTGGATTAGTTCCATCCGGGTGACCCAAAGTGTAATTTACATGTTAGGCAAATCGTGGTTTTTAGTCTTGGGTGTTACGAGTCAGTCCTATCGTGACTTTAACGATGTCCTTGAAAGGGAAGAGGTGATCAGCATCTTCCTAGAGGTCCCTGGTGCTTTACTTTTTGAGAAGTGAAAGAGATCTTGGTCACTGCACTTTCATATTTAGAATGACCACACCTATGTGTAGCATTATGGGAAAGCTGTGTTTTGCAACTTAAACTGGTAGTTTAGGGGTGGTCCCACCCCCAATAATCACAATGAACACACAGAGAAATTTTATACTGATTTTAATTGTAAGCGGACATATATCTTTCCCTAGTGAATTAAATATGATGATGGAAACATGGCTTTGATCCTTAGTTTCAGTTACGAGGAAGTCCATTTGCTACGTCAGCATATTTAAGTCACCGGCTAATGACATTGGGAATTTTTTTCTAGTGACTCCATGGAGTTTGCAAGGAAACATGTCCTGTTTTCTGGAAGTAAGTGAGCCACTCCCATGGTCTTCTGAAGTAGTGCAGGGGTCTCAGGGACATGGAGCACAGAAATAGGTAGGTACTACCCATGGCTATCAATGTTCCAAAGAAAAAGAGTCCTTTGTTTATCACCTGTAAAAACAGCAAGAAGTCTCATTTTATTTGTCCAGAGATAAAGATCTCAAAAGACTTCATTCTTGAACAACCAAGGAGTATACAACGTCTTCTTTGTTCTTTAACCTAAAATGGCAATTTAATTGCATGACCACGAGGTCAAGGCCTAGGATGGTTGGTAAGGTCGGAATTTGGAGCTTCCCTTCTCTGTCTCTGTCCTCTCTCCCTTCCCAGAGATAGCCGAATCCATGTGTTCTGTGTAATGAATTCTTAGCAGTCTGCCTTCGTAGAGCCACAAACACACACACACACACACACGCACACACGCACAATTTAGAGAAAGAGTTATAAATGCGATCTTAGAAGAGTCTGTTAGCCTCCCTGGCCTCCCTGCTTCCCTTGACATAATATTCAAAATGCTTGACGTCCCTCTTGCCCTTGCCGCTGCCGCTCTGGCGGTTCTGGTGTATCAGGGCTGCCTCCGGGCCCACCCAGCCCCGCCCCCCGGCCCCTCCCGCGCTCCACCCGCCGCGGTCAGCCCGCCCCTCCCGCCTCTGAGCTGCCGGAGGAGAGGGGCGGCTGCGTATTCATCTCATGCCCAGCTCCGTCTCTAGACATTCAATGCAGTGACTTGCTGAATGAATAAAGTTGTTAGATTTCCAGAGGAAATCTAGGAATCTGAATGTCCATGTACTGGCATCTCTGGGTGAGCTGCCCAAAATGAACGTGTTAGGCCATTGAATTAGAATTAGATTATGTTTTATAAGAGATTCAACTCTGCCCAATTTTATAGGTTAAACCCATAAGAATATTGCATGACGCAAAAGTCAATTGTTAAATAAAAGTAAAAAAAAATTACATTGCTGAAATAAATTTAAAAGTTTAGAAATACTGCATCAGGGGTATCCTTGGTAGTTCAGTTGGTTAAGTGTCTGACTCTTGATTTCGGCTCAGGTCATGGTCTCAGGGTTGTGGGATCAAGTCCTGCATCAGGCTCCAAACTCAGCACGGAGTCTGCTGGTCCCTTTCCCTCCACTCCTTAACCCAGTTGTGCTCACACACACACACACTCTAAATAAATAAAATCTTAAAAAAAAAAAAAAAAAGAAAAGAAATACTAGCATCAGTTCTCTTTTGCATTTCCTCCCTTGCGGAGCACTCACTCTCTCTCTCTCCCTCTTGCCCGCTCTCTCTTTCTCCCTTTTCGTAATTTTGTTCATTAGGCGCTTTACCTCCTGTGTACCCAGGACAGTTTTTATCTGGAAGCAAACATGTCTGTCACGTCATTTCTGAATTTGCCTGAAAAATCATAAGCATAACACTATGAACTTCAACTTGTTCTGACCTTTTTCTGCCAATGCCAGCGCAGCTTTGCCTCATGGTATCTTATTCTGGAAAAGGTGACCTATAAGGAAGTTTAAAAAGTATTCTTGTGATTCTTTAATGGCTAAACAGAATAAAATGAGATGTCTTAAACCAGACCTTACCATGGTATAGAGAGGAATGAAGGTAGATGGCATAAGAGCCTGAAGAAGTCTCTCCACCTTCTTGTAGAAGATGAACCACCTTGAGTTGACGTGAGCTCGCATCTGCAATAACGTAAGACTCTTACAGAATACCTCAAGCGAATGACGTTTATTTCTTTACTACAACACATTCCCACTCACTGCAAAGCAGGACACAGAGTAGTCAACTTCATATTCCCTTCACAGTCATGACCAATCCTTTTTAGTAAAAGTATGAGACGTTACCTTGAAAAGGTTGAGCAACTGCACAAAACCTGTTAGAGAGCACCGCTGTGCTCAGGGGGCGTTATAGGAACTCTCTTTCAGTGAAAGGTTTGTTCAGCCAGATCTGGGGATCGTCTGTGGGACCAAAGATGTAACTAATTGCCATTGTTTACTAGCTGGTTTGAAATCTTCTTCGTGGCAGGAAGGGATCGTTGAAGCTATGTCTGTCTTGACTTCTCCATATTGAGAAAAAATATTGTGTTTTTAGTTGTCTTGTTTTTAAAGACACTGGCAAGTTGCATCAGTGAAGACTTTCAGTACATATGAAACAATTCTGCTCAAACGGAAATCCACTTTATTTCTATTTTCTGTCTTCGGGAAAGATGGAAAACAACTACACTCTTTTCCTTAAACTTGTAAATTTTCTCATTTGATCCAGTCACATAAAAAACTCACAATAAATAGTTATGGTCACAGTTTTTAAATGAGATCAAATGTAATTGTGTTTTTCTTTTGAGTATTAATCTGTTAACCATGAATTTCTTTGGTATATACATATTTTTTTCCAGTGCATAAGGCCCCAAAGGATATTATAAACCTGCTCCAAATTTGCAGAGTATAATGTTAACAGTGTTAAGATCATTTGATGTTTCTCAAATCTTCAAAATATGTTAATACATATCAAAATTATATTTTCCTTAAAATAAAATATTACTAGCTCTACCAAATGTCTAAGGTTTGTGTTTGTGAATTATCGGTGATTGAAACCAGACATTTAGT